GGGAGGGAGGGAGGGAGGGAGGGTTTGAGAAGCTTTGACAAGGTTTGAGCAGCGAAAGCGGGTGCGTGCGGCGACCATCAGGCGGACCGACACCTCGTCCTTTTGCTAGCGTTCAGATTGGATACAGCCGGATCAGTTCTGAGCCTGAGTCATCCACCTACTCCAGCCCGAGCTCGATCTGAAATGCTTGGCTCAACAGGGTGATGTTGGGATGCATGCCAGGTCCAGTTCTGAACAGTTGATGTTTGTATGCATGGTAGGTCCGGCCGCGAGGTGCTCAACCCCATGTGCATGCGCAAAGATACAATATCAAATAAACTGAGGTAAGTCCATGCTGGTTACCAGGACTTGTTCGGAATTGCCTTCCCGAGTGTACACGCGCCCAGGTATGGCTTTGCAGGGGGCGGTACGACCCCCCAGTAGAATGTCATGCGACTGCAACTGCGGCTTACATTGAAAGCATCGATGGCGATGCACCACTGACCATAACACCAATCATCACCATCGAGACAATGGCGAGCAGTACTCTCTTCGTCGAAACTGCTGCTAGGTACTCTGGTAGTTTTGCCTTATCACTCCAACACACACCTCTTTGTCATCCTTATGTGTCACAAGCTTGACATAGTTTGACACTGTAGAGCCGAATGACTGGTAATGCGAGATGGCGCACAGAGCAGGTGACCAGGTGGCTATCAGCCGCACTTGTGGCATGTTGCCCTCCCCGCATGACCAATCCGGAAGCCGATGCAGCTCCTGTCCTCGAACTTACACCCTCAGCCCACGGCCAGTATGTAGAGATACGGAAATTATGGATTTGGAACTTTAAGATTCTCGACAGGAAGCTCCTTGACAGTGACACCGGCGGGAACGAGACTGATCGTGCCACCAGCCTGCCAGTCTCAGCGCGTACGCAAACCACTGCAAGCTTCCAAGAAAGAAATTGGGCCGCAAACGCAGCATAGAATGTTTTTTGTGTCGGATCTTTGGGTCTGCAAGGTTTTGCAGGGATGTTCAGGCCTCGGGCATCAACCGGACACCATGGGCCCCAGCATACCCTGACCATGCGTCTCCCTGTCCAAGCTGGCGCACTCTTGCCGAACCCTTGAGCCAACGATACGCTCTTTTCCACCTGCAGGTGCGCACCGGGTTTGGGGTCTTGAGTTTGAGCATGTCTGCTAAGACTCTTGCTTTGGAAAGTAGTGTTGAAGTATCATGCACTCAAGCTAGTACTGTTGAACACGTATTCTCGGAGTCGGGCCCACACCACAAAAATTCTGGGACTCCGACCCAGCCAACCGTTGCCACCACGCCATGTGAGCCTTGGCTGCCATGGTGAAATCATGAAAGTTCTGCGAGCTTGACCAGTTACCAGTTCTCCCCCCGGATGCACTGGTAACATGTGTCACTAGAGTGAAACTCGCCCTTTGCTTCCCCACCCATAATCCTTCCGAGTAGCGCGTCTGACAGTGCTGATGCTTTCGCAGATCAAGCTAGGGTGATTGCTACACTCGCAAGCACATAGCCCTGAAACCTAATGCCAAAAGTTGCAGATGCTTCAGGGTGGAAGGATATGCAGGACATTGCAGAACGAAAATATTATGGTAAAGGCTGGACTCGCGTTAATTATCAGGCCAGGCTTGGAAAGAAGTCAGAAAAGTTCCAAAACACATTCGCAAGGGGAACAGGAGAAACGGAACTGGACACACAACTGCATTATCAGGACTCCAAGCACAACCGCATCGTGTGAGCAGGACAATTTAGGGGTTCATATGTCTTGGACTGACGTCTTCAGATCATTACGTATAGAGGTTTTCAATTTCACGGTGCGGAGTTCAGGGCGGTTCGGAAGTTCTGAATCCCAAATCCTTGAAACACTATGCTTCCGGCATTCGTCGCCGTCAGGTGGAGGTGCGTCTGCGTACGGCTTGGGATTCAGGCAAGATGAGCTTCACCATGCAGCAGGCATGCCTACGAAACCCACAAACTGCCACAAACAATCATTGGAAGACTGCTTTCCTGCAAGATTCCACTGCTCCTTGTGCACTGCGCACTTGATAAATTGAGCCTTGTAAACTTGCTCGCCGTGGTCCAAGTATAAGTGACATGAGGCATGCCGAACGTGATAACTCGAAGCCTCCGTCGCAACCAGCTGCTCTCTCGCACTAGCACCGTTTCCAACATAATACATAAATACATTTGGTATGGATGTGCAGGTATATATATATATATATATATGTGTATATATATATATATATAAATACACTATATACGCACACACACACACACACACACACACGGAGACAGAGACACACCCACACACACATGGATGGATGGATGGATGGATGGATGGATGGATGGATGGATGGATGGATGGATGGATGGATGGATGGATGGATGGATGGATGGATGCATTGATGGATGGATGCATAGATGGATGGATGGGTGGATG